GGAAACAAACCTAGCAGTGCTATGTGTACAGTTTTATAGCTCTTTGGACATAGTTCCAAATTGTTTAACAGAATGGTTGGATCAATTCACAACTCTACCAGCAGTGTTTTAGTGTCCCAGTTTTCCCACATTCCTTCCAACATTTATTATTTTTCCTTTTCTATCATATTAGCCAATTTGGTAAGTGTGACGTAGGATCTCAGAGTTATTTTAATTTGCATTTCTCTAATCAATAGTGGTTTAAAGCATTTTTTTCATAGCTTTAGAGAGTTTTGATTTCTTTGTTTGAAAGCTGCCTGTATGCTTTGATGATTTATCAATTGAGGAATGACATAGGTTTGTATAAATCTGACTCAGTTCTCTATGTATTTGAGAGATGAGGTTTTTATCTGAGATACTTGCTATAAATGTTTTCCCCAGATTTTTGCTTTTCTTCTAATTTTGGTTGCATTGGTTTTGAAAAAAAAAAAACAAAACCAAAAACCAAAAAACAAAAACCTTTTAAATTTGATATAATTGAAATTATTCATTTTACATTTTGTAATGCTCTCTATATTTTGTTTGACCCTACATTTCTTTCTTATTCATAGGTCTGACAGTTAAACTATTCCATGTTCCTCTAATTTGCCTATAGTATTATCATTTATGTCTAAATCATATACCTATTTTGACCTTATCTTGGTGTATGGTATGAGATGTTAATCTATTTCTGGTTTCTACCATACTGTTTTCCAATTTCCCCAGCAGTTTTTGTCAAATAATGAGTTTCTGTCCGAAAGCTTGGATTTTGGGGTTTATCAAACATAGCCACTATGGACATTTACTACAATGTATTGTGTGCCTATTCCACTGATCCACCACTTTTTTTCTTAGCTAGTACCTGATTATTTAGATGAGTACTGCTTTAAAATACAGTCTGAGATCTGGTATGGCTATGTTACCTTCCTTCACATTTTTTTTTCATTGATTTACTTGATATTCTTGACCATTTGTTCTTCCAGAGGAATGTTATTATTTTTTTTCTAGCTGTATAAAATAATTTTTGGTAGTTTGATTGGTATGGCACTGAATATTAATTTGGGTAGAACTGTCTACCTAAGATTTATTTAGATAGAATTGTCATTTTTCTGACACTGGCTTGGCCCCATGAGCAGTTAATATTTTTCCAGTTGTTTAGATGTGACTTTATTTGTGTGAAAAAAATGTTTCGTAATTGTGTTCATATAGTTCTTGTATTTGTCTTGGCAAGTGGGTTTATTTTATATTCTGTAACTTTGTTAAAGTTGTTAATTATCTCAACTAGATTTTTAGTTATTCTCTAGGATTTTCTAAGTATACTATCATATCATCTACAAAGAGTAATAATTTTATTTCTTCATTAACTATTCTAATTCCATCATTTTCTTTTTCTTCTCTTATTGCTATATCTAGCATTTCTAGTACAATATTGAATAATGGTGGTGATAATGATGATCCTTGCTTCACCCCTGATATCATTGGGAAGGATTCTAGCTTATACCCATTACATAATGTTTGTTGATGGTTTTAGATAGATAATATTTATCATTTTAAGGAAAACTCCTTTTATTCCTATGTTCTCTAGCATTTTTAGTAGGAATGGGTGTTATATTTTGTCAGAAGCTTTTTCTGCATCTATTGAGATGATCATATGATTTGTTAGTTTTGGTATAAATCCCACCTGGTCATAGTGTATGATCCTTGTGATACATTGCTGTAATCTCCTTGCTAGTTTTTATTTAAAAGTTTTGCATCCCCAAAGAGCTATAAAAATGTGCAAACCCTTTGACACAGCAATAGCACTTCTAGGGCTATATCCCAGAGAGATCATACAAATAGGAAAAGGACCCACATGTACAAAAATGTTTATAGCAGCTCTTTTCGTGGTGGCAAAGAATTGAGAGGATGCCCATCAATTGGGGAATGGCTGGAGAAGTTGTGGTATATGAATGTGATGGAATACAATTATGCTATAAGAAATGATGAACAGACTGACTTGTATGGTCTGATGCTGAGTGAAGTGAGTAGAACCAGGAGAACATTGTACACAATAACAGCCACGTTCTGAAATGACTAATGTTGACAAACTTAATTCTTCTCAGTAATACAAGATTCTAAGACATCTCCAAAATGCCTCATGATAGAAAATGCTATCCACAAAGAAGAAAGATCTATGGAGTTTGAATACAGATCGAAGCATACTATTTGCTATTTTTTTTCTTCCTTTGTGTTTTGTTTACTCTTTCTGGTGGTTCCTCCTATTGGTTCTAATTCTTACCTGCAACATCACTATGTGAAAATATGTTTAATAGGAATGTATATGTATAGCCTATATCAGAATGCACACCGTCTATGAGAGGGAGGTGTGGAGGGAGGGGGAGAAAAATTTAAAACTCAAAAGCTTATGGAAGTGATTATTGATAATTCAAAATAAATTAAATAAAAAGTGGAAGAAAAATAAAATAAAATAAATTTTTTTGCATCAATGTTCATTAAGAAACTATTGTTTTCTTTCTCTGTTTTCACTCTTTCTGGTTTAGGTATCAGCATCATAACTGTGTCATAAAAGGAATGTGGCAGGACTCCTTCTTTACCTATTTTCCCAAATAGTTTATATGTTATTGAGATTAATTATTCTTAAAATGTTTAGTTGAATTCTTTTGTGAAGCCACCTAGCTGGTGGCTTTTGCTGAGTGTGGGCCTTCACTGCTGGCCTGCACTGGCTATGAGCTTGTCTTAGGGCTCAAAGCTTTACTGCTAGTTTGCAGTGGGGGCAGGACCTTGCTGGCCACTTGTCTTTGAGCTCAGGGCTTCACTGCAGTCGCAGCCTGCCACTTGCTTTCCCCTTAAACTGTGCTCCTTTTCCACATCAGTGAGACAAATCTTTCCTTCTGCTCCTGCAAGCTGCCCTGGGGTGGAAAGCTGTGTCACCACTCTAAAATTGGCTCTGAGGCATTATTTCAAGGTTGTTTGGAGGAGAATTTGGGAGAGTTCAGGCCAGTTCCTGCCTCACTCCACCATCTTAGCCACAGAATATTTCCTTTTTACAGCTGAAAAAAAACAAAAACAAAAACAAACAACTGAATCTGTGAGAGCATAATTGAATTATCCAGTGCCACAACTGGCAAGTGTCTGTGATAGTGTTGTGGTCTGAGGGGTTGAGACCCCCCAAAGACCACAGTACAGGACGTGGTTGTCTGGAGTGAATTCTCTAACTCAAGCATTCTCTGAGTCAAGTTGGCAAAGATTTATTGTTCCGCTTATCAGTGGGCAAGGATTGTTAAGGAACCTGCGAGAGACTGAGGATGGGAGCTGGGGTTTATGTGGAAAAGGGCATGGGAAAGGAATGCCAGGGATACTAATTAGGCAATCTAAAGGTCCAGGTGTCTTTGGGAGCTATGGATGGGAAAGTGTAAGGAGTATACCAGACAGGGAGGGAGATGTCAGAGGATCTTGGGAATCTGGAGGGAGGAACAGTCTCTGGGCCAGCCAAGGACAAAACTCTTTGGACCAGACAAGACACCCTTCTTTCTCTGTCCTGATTAGAGAATGCTCTGCAACAAAGGAAAGTTTTCTCACAAGACAGGAGCTTACTACGAAATTGGGAGGCTTCAGAGACGTGATCTTAGGGCTGGGCCCTGAGCAGCCCAGCACTCTCTCACCCAGCTTTCTATCACCAGGGAGAGAGATAAGTGTTTTGCTGAGGCCCACTCATGAGTAATTGCTAGGCACAGTGTCCTTGGGCTGGAGGAAGACTGCCAGGGATAGTGTTTCTGAGGCTAGGGAGAAACATGGTCTTGGAACTAGGGTCCCATTGCAAGCACCCAAGAGCCCCATCAGTAGCATTTAAATTCACTTCTTCCTGAATCCAAGTCTAGTGCTCTTTAACCTTTTCCACCTAGACCCTTTCATTTTTTTTTTTTTTTGGTAAGGCAGTTGGGGTTAAGTGACTTGCCCAAGGTCACACAGCTAATACATGTCAAGTGTTTGGTCTGAGGCCGGATTTGAACTCAGGTCCTCCTGACTTCAGGGCCGGTGCTCTATCTACTGCGCCACCTAGCTGCCCCCGCCCCTTTCATTTTATAGTACCACATTTTCTTGTAGAAACAAGCAGATTCTTTCCCACTACGAAATGGTTATATAAACTGTGGCAAATACATGGAAATGAATCTTACTTTGTCATAAGAAATAAAGAATATGAAGAATTAAGGTAAAAATGGAAAACTATTGCAAAATTAAAGAAACAGAGCCAAGGATATGTTATGCCCAATGACTATAACAACATATACTTCAATATGTATATGTTTGTATGTATATATACACATGCATATATACCTGTATGTGCATATATACATATGTACACATGTACATACACATATACATGCACATACATATGTGCATGCTTGTATGTGTATATATAAAAGACAGAGATTGTTTTATTTTAATGACAGAGTTTGGCTCTAGAGAAGAATTGAGAAAATGTATCTTTTTCCCTTCTTTTCCATGGATGTGGGATATTTCATGTACTGTGAGACTCAGCTAATATGTTGATCAGTTTTGCTGACTTAATGTTTTTTGTTTCTTTTTTAATACTTTTTTTTAAAAGGATCAATCATTGGGCATAGGAAGTGGGAAGTTATACATTGGAAAATGAAGATGACATTGAAAAAATGTATCAATAAAATCTATACCTATGCACACAAGCACACATACATACACATGTGCATATATTTATGTTTATATAGATATGTATGTGGGTAGATATAGATAGATAGATAGATAGACAGACAGATGGGTAGATAGATGGATGTATTCTGGATTTTACACAAGTTTGAACTGCATTCAGATTTATCAAAAATTTGAGAGCACAATGCAAAAACAAACAAATAAACAAAAAAACCTAAACCCCAAGCAATTTTACTACCTTTCATTCTAATGATAGTTTTTAGCATTCTTCTATTTCTTCACTAAGGTAAATTTTCTTAAAATGCACTAGTGTAAATGCCCAGAGAAAGGGCACTACATCTTACGGGAGCTTCTGCACGGAAGTTCTTCAGTGACTTTAGGTGAATCTCCTCATCTGAGAAGGTGTTAAGACATGCTTCAGCCTTCTGAAATTGGGCCAATTGCCAAGGACGGAATGGTTTGGTTTGTGAGTGATATTGCTTGACCTTGGTGCCACAGGTTTGGTAGTAACTTTCTTTTGGTGTGATCTTGACAAAGTCTTTATAATGAATTGAATCTTTCATATTTCTTTTCTGTATCCGTTGGTTCTTGAACTTCTGCTGGATTAGGTCAGTTATAGTAACATTTTGATCTCTGTGTTGTTTTTTGGGCATATGGTCTAGGAGTGGTTTGTTTTTTTTTAATCGGTCTGGTTTGGCGATAACCCAGTCTGAATGAATGATAATCAGCAGGAGAAACAAAGCCAGCCTGTATAGCTTTTTTAATTGCTTGGGTTTGGTCATAACTCAAGCTGAATGAATGGTACTCAGCAGGAGTAACTAAGCCAGCCTGTACAGCTTTTGCATTAAAGTTAAGAAAATTGCGTGGGGGTTTTTTTGGTGAAGCAGTATCTGTATGTTTTCTCCATTGTCCGATTGTTTCAGCCACGCCATCTTCATACACAAAATCAGATCCTGGTAACATGTTGCAAATTCTTCGGGTTCTTCCTAATTCTGGTTTTAGGATGAGGTGATTACAAAACATGGAATTCCTCATACAGCCATGCCTATAGTTCTCCATTTCTGGCTTCAAGTCTGCTTTGTGCAAAGGCATCAGGGGAGGGAGACAGATATCCCTGATACTTCTGAAGCTTTTACATTTGAGTGGCTTTTCATATTTGAAAAGTTTTCGTTGTTCAGATGAAGCCATGTTGGCTAACAGGCTGTTGCTCACTTTTATTCCTTATGGCATGTACTTCATTTCTTGTATGTTTCTCTTATGGGTGATAAGTTAAATGTCCAGTGTCATGCTGAACACTATAGTAATCATGGAAGACTTCATGAGAGCTTCTCATTGGTTAGTGTTGCCTTTCTGTGAAGCTAGCGAGAGGAAATAAAATAATATTCCTATTCAGGGATAAAATGTTTTATTTATCCTATGATGCAGTTTAGACTAATAGAATATTTGAGTAGTTCTGTGAAGTTAGATAAATGATGGCAGTCAGTTGTTTCTTTACCTTCAGTCGGTCTTGGACATTGAAGTCTTTCAGTTCACTAAATCTGTCTCCAGCCTTTCTAAATCTTCTTTCTTCTTCTCTTTTCTTAAAACCTCTATAGAATTTCCTCCTTTGTTCATTGTGACATAATGGAGACTCCTCTTTCTGGTTTACCCTGGGAGAGGATGACTCTGAGAGCTACTTAAAAATGCTAATCTAGGTCTGTTAGCTCTAGTAGTTAGAGACTAATGTTAATAATGCCAGCATAAGAGTTTCAAAAACGATATGCTTCAGCTAGCTTTATATGGAGGAAAACTATGTTTCAGGAATATAGATGGTAGCCCTAATCCTAACTGGGATCTTGAATATGAATGTAATTTCTCATAGTGCCATACAGGTAAGTTAGTATGGATGGTTCAGTATCTTGCCATTGAAAAGTAACACAACTTTACATGTTCAACAATAGAGGGCAAATGATGATAAATATCAGTGTTATCATTTTTTGAGTATGAATAACAGCTGACATTTATATAGCTCCTTCAAATTTTCAAAGTGATTAAAAGGCATTGTCTCATTTGAATCTCACAACAACCCTATGAAATAGGTTTTAGAGTGATGATTATTCCTTTTTTTAGATACAAAGAATAGAACCTGAGAGAAGTTATGTGATAAGTGGTTAAGAAGTGGCAGTGGCAGAATATAAACCCAGTTCTTCCTACCAGTAAGTCTAGTGCTCCAAGGCAGCCCATTCTACGTTTTGGATAGGTTTGAGTGTCACAAGCTTTTTCTTTTTCTTTTTCTGTTTTTTTAAAAACAGTTCATTCTGTACCTTTTTTATTTTTAATTTTTTTATTAATTTATTTTGATTTATCAATAATCACTTACATATGCTTTTGAGTTAAAAATTTTTCTCCCCCTTCCCACCACCCTCCCCAAAATGGCACATAATCTGATATAGGCTATACATTTACATTCATATTAAACATATTTTCACATTAGTGGTGTTGTAAGTAGAAATTAAAACCAATAGGAGGAACCATCAGAAAGAGGAAAAAAAACTCAACAGAAGAGAAAAAAATTAGTAATTCAGCGTCCATAGTTCTTTCTTTGGGTTTGGATAGCATTTTCTATCACAAGGCCTCTGGAGATGTCTTAGATCCTTGTATTGCCAGGAAGGGTTAAGTTTATCAATATTAGTCATCATGCAACGTGGCTGTTATTGTGTACAACGTTCTCTTGGTTCTGCTCACTTCACTCAGCATTAGACCATACAAGTCTTTCCAGGTTTTTCTGAAGTCAGCCTGTTCATCAATTCTTATAGCACAATAGTATTCCATCACATTCATATACCATAACTTGCTCAGCCATTCCCCAGTTGATGGGCATCCTCTCAATTTCCAATTCTTTGCCACCACAAAAAGAGCTGCTATGAATATTTTTGCACATGTAGGTCCTTTTCCCGTTTGTGTGATCTCTTTGGGATATAGCCCTAAAAGTGCTATTGCTGGGTAAAAGGGTATGCACATTTTTATAGCCCTTTGGGCATAGTTCCAAATTGTTCTCCAAAATGATTGGATCATTTCACAACTCCACCAGCAATGCATTAGTATTCCAATTTTCCCACGTCTTCTCCAACATTTATCATTTTCCTGTTTTGTCATGTTGGCCATTCTGATAGGTATGATGTGGTACCTCAGAGTTGTTTTGATTCACATTTCTCTAGTCAATAGTGATTTAGAGCATTTTTTCATATGACTATAGATGGCTTTAATTTCTTCATCTGAGAACTACCTATTCATATCCTTTGACCATTTATCAATTGGGGAATGGTAAATTTGACATAATTCTCTATATATTTTAGAAATGAGGCCCTTATCAGAGAGACTGGTTGTAAAAATTCTTTCCCAATTTTCTACCTTTCTTCTAATCTTAGTTGTATTGGCTTTGTTTGTACAAAAACTTTTCAATTTAATGTAATCAAAATTATCTATTTTGCTTTTCATAATGTTCTCTACCTGCTGTTTGGTCATGAATTCTTCTGTTCTCCATAGATCTCACAGGTAAACTATTCCTTGCTCTCCCAGTTTGCTTATAGTATCAGCATTTATATCTAAATCATGAACCCATTTTGACTTTATTTTGGTATATGGTGTGAGATTTTGGTCTATGCCTAGTTTCTGCCATACTCTTTTCCAGTTTTCCCAGCAGTTTTTTTCAAAAAGCGGGTTCTTATCCCAGAAGCTGGAGTCTTTGGATTTATCAAATAATATATTACTATAGTCATGGACTACTGTGTCTTGCATATTTAACCTATTCCATTGGTCCACCACTCTATTTCTTAGCCAGTACCAAGCAGTATTGATGATTGCTGATTTATAATACAATTTAATATCTGGAATGGCTAGGCCACCTTCCCCTGCATTTCTTTTCATTAGTTCTCTTGATATTCTGGACCTTTTGTTCTTCCAAATGAATCTTGTTATTATTTTCTTCTAACTCTGTAAAATAGTTTTTTGGTAGTTTGATTGGTATGGCACCAAATAAGTAAATTAGCTTGGGTAGAATTGTCATTTTTATTAAATTAGCTCGGCCTACCCATGAGCAACTGATGTTTTTCATTTAGATCTGATTTTATTTGCGTGAAAAGTGTTTTGTAATTGTGTTCATAGAGTGTCTGGGTTTGTTTCGGGAGGTAGACTCCTAAATATTTTATCATGTCTACAGTAAGTTTAAATGGAATTTCTCTTTCTATCTCTTGCTGTTGGGCTTTGTTGGTAATATATAGAAATGCCAATGATTTATGTGGGTTTATTTTATGGTCTGCAACTTTGCTAAAGTTGTTTATTATTTCAAGTAGTTTTTTACTTTATTCTCTGGGATTCTCCAAGTATAACATCATGTCATCTGCAAAGAGTGATAGCTTTGTTTCTTCTTCGCCTATTCTAATGCCTTCAATGTCTTTTTATAATACAACATTGAACAACAGTGGTGATAACGGACATCCTTGTTTCACCCCCGATCTTATTTAATACATTTTTTGGGGGGTTAGGCAATGGGGTTAAGTGACTTGCCCAGGGTCACACAGCTAGTAAGTGTTTTTATGTGTCTGAGGCCAGATTTGAACTCAGGTCCTCCAGAATCCAATGCCGGCGCTCTATCTGCTGCACCACCTAGTTGCCCCCGAGCTTTTTCTTAAAGCAACAGGTTGGTCAACTTATTTTTCCTCATATCAACAGATATACAACTTGGTCAACAATTGAGATTATAGTTATCCCTACCAAAAGAAAGAAAAAAGAAAAAAAAAGTTATTGCTTATATCTACATTAATCATTTCCACCCCATTTCCAGTGATGACAGTATTTCCTCTTTTACTTAACAAAAAAAGAGATGGCATGATATAATAGAGTTTTTCTCAAAGCCAGGAAAACTGAAGTTAAAGTCTTGCCTCAGAAAAATACTGACTCTTGACCTTGAGTAAATTATTTGTGCTCTAGGTACCTGTCTAAGGTTATAAGTTTCAGAAAAAGTGGCAATCTGAATTGGTAAATGGAGTTTCTTCACTTGGGAGTTCCCTCTATCAGTGAAAGCATAGGTACAGCCTTTTCCATATTCCCTACTTACTAGAATGCTGCAAATGGACACACCTGACAGGGTGACAAGTGTATAATTGAGGGCTGCTCTAGACAAAACAGTACTGAGCACTGAACACAGTTCCCAAGATCCACTATAGACTTAATAAATGCTTATGGAATGAATGACCTAAGTATTTCAGTGAATTACAACTTGAGTATGCATTAGCACTGAGATTTTAGGAGGGAAGGATGCTTTGTATCTACTGTTCTTGCTATACCATTAAATAAAACTATGCCTTTGTTGTGTGTGTACATGTGTATGTGTATGAATTAGTGCTATGATATAACTTCATCAGAAGTGAGTACATGGGCAATTCACAGAATCATAGGATTTTGAAGGTAGAGGGAACCTCAGTTCGATTATGTCTATATCTATATATGAAAGGCAATTGCAATTATGACATACCTGATAATTGATCAGCCACTCCACATTTGAAGGCCTCCAATGAGGCTCACACCACTATCTTCCAAGGCAACAATTCCTCTTTTTGACAGCTCTAATTGTCAGGATAATTGATTGTCCTTATGCTTAGCCTCAGTTTGCCTCTTTGAAACTTCTTTGTCTTGCTCCTAGTTCTTACTTCTGTGGCCAAGCTGATCAAGCATAATTCTTCTACTATGGGACAGTCACTGACAGTTACAATCTAGATTCTAAGATAAGGCAGTATCTACAGACTCAATTGGTTTAACTATTGAGATTATTAAATAATATCGAAAATACGCGAATATTCTCATTCAAGAAAGTGAAGATGGCAGTCCTTCTTATCTGGTACGGGTCGTTTCATAAACACTGTGATTAACTTAATATAGGCCCAGATGGGGTGAGTTGTTGTTGTTGCTGTTTTTTGGATACCTACCCTGTCATATTGTTAGTTCATGTGGTACGGTACTTTTAGTCCACTAAAATCTTGAGATATTTTTTACAAACTGTTGTCACAGAGCTCTTCCATCTTGTATGTGTATAGTTCATTTTTTGAACTCAAATGCAATGTTACCTTTATCCCTTTCAAATGTTATCTAATTAGACTTGACATTATACTCTTGTAATCTTTTGAAGTTCTTTTAAATCCACACATTTTCAT